AAAAAAAAAAAAAAAATTATTCGATAAACGCTAGATCGGCTAATTTTATATTCATTTTAAGTAATTCTTGCTTTAATAACGATCTTCTTCGTGTCACTTGCACATTTACCTGCCACAAGATATTTAATGTGGAAGATAGGAGAGATTATGTTTGTTGAGAAATATCTGTTTGTTCAGTTGCGTCCCTGTAAATCACCAAGCATGACCGAAAGATGTGTAGGAACGTGCCGGTGAAAATAAAAGTGTCACGAGTGAGCCAACAATATTCTTACCGTCACGCTAAGGATTTAATTAATGTCCGTTTGTTGCCACAATTTTAGGTTTTCACATTCTGATTGAACAAGGAACAGGTTGAATCTCGAAAGACTCTGCCAATGCTCTCTTTAATATTATAGTTTGCTTCAGACCATTAGATTTCCTCGAAAGTTCTCTTTCTTCGATTTTTTCTGCTTTCACATTGCTTACGCACAAAACACGTCGTGTTAGTTTATTTTCACCGTATGAACTGAATCGGCGATGTTTTCTCCATTCTTTTTTTGTTTGAAACTGGAATCTCTGGTTTCTTTCATAACTTTTGTTAATAACATACTGTTGATTGTGTAACTTACCAGGAGGTAATAAAATAAATAAATTATTTTTGTATTTATGAAAAATAAATAATACGTGCAAAAGTACACACAGTGTCTCACAAAAGTTTTCGAACGTTTTTTTTTATAAATATATTATGCGTGTTATGTGAAACATTGAAATTTCCTCAGTACTATAAATGAGACTTAATTTTCACGAGTATATTGATTTGAAATAAATCTGAAAATATATAAAAGTATGTATTTTGTATGTTTAAAATGATTATTCATCTTATAGACTGGTTTTATAAATATTGTAACTTGTATATATATTTTCAGATTAGTTTCAAATTTTACCAATATAATATCATGATATACACGTATAAGTTCTATGATAAATATTCGAATATATTCATGAACTGTATATAATATATTCAAAATATAATAAATAAATGAGAACGCAGCAATTATGCTACCCTGTTATAATTTGGTAATTAAATTTTAAACATAATTTAACAAATACCTTTTTTATGAAATATCCTACTATGCGAGTGTACAACTATCAATGAATCGAGATTTTTTTATACAATCGTTATTACAAAGCACAATAGAACAATCTGTTCCGCCTAGATGTTCTTTGCGTCGGTGATTGTCGAACTTGGTATAATCGTATCTCGTTACAACATAGTACGAAATTTGTCTGTCTATTGTGGGTGAACGATTTGCAAGATTGAAACAAAGGGAAAACGCGGGATTTTAAAAAAGTATGACGAGAGGAAGTAGCTGAAATTACCTAGTTTACGGCGCGACGGTGCGCGTTTGAGAGGTCAGAGAGCGTAATATGAAAGCAATCTCGTTATTTTAATTGTAATTGAGAAGCTTCCCGGAAGGAGGTCCTATAAATTACGTTCACAAGTTTAACGCTAATTTTCAGACAGTACTCTGAATTGATAATTTCGATTAGCTTCGAGCAATTTTTAAACACTCTTCACGCCGATAAAAAAAAAACGCATCGCAATCGAGAATACAATCATCAACTTAATTAACAGTTTAATGAATATAGATTTAGATTCCTGAAGTTTTTATTCAACTGTATCGTTAAAATTCAAGTGCACGGAATAGGGAAAAATACATAGGATAATGGAGAACGTAAATTTTTATTTATATAATTTACAAATTTCTAAGTTTCCATAAATCTCTAGATTCTCTGAAAATTTCCGGTAATTGATTGTTTGACAGCCATTCGTACATACTCATATTCACATGTATCTTCTTTTCCTTTCTTTTTTTTTTTTTTTTTTTTTTTTTTTTTAGAAAATTCCTCAACCTACTCGAAATCTAAAGAACAGGCGCCGTCGTTTGGATTTTGGAAAGGAATTTGTCGTTCGCTGCGAAATAGAGAAGCTAGGAAAAAAAAGGAGAGATTCTCCGGACTATGCAAAGGGAGCGAAGAGCGCGCAGAGACATTACGGAGCTAATTTGAAGAGAGAAAAAAGGGGGGGGCGGGAGAGGGAAAGGTCGTGGATGGAGCGGGATGATTCGTTGCACGAACGAGGAGAATGAGTGAAAGGAGAAGCGGAGAAAGAGGAGGTAGAAGCAACGGGGTTTGCGGGGTAACAGGAGAAGACACGACGAGGAGCAAGAGATCGCGGAACGGAATGGAGCAAGAGTGGAGTAATCAATACGCATTCACACGCGGTGGCTAGCATCCGGTTTCCATGGAGACCGACGCTGGCGCATGTGCAATTTAACCAACATTACATCCTCTGAGTAGAAATTTACTCAGACACAATTCTGTGCCTGTACAGCACGGAACTGCTGAACCAACATTATACTATTACACATGAGTCTATGTATTTCTGCACTGAGAAAAATACCCGACACGTTCTCCAATTGACATTAAATATTAAATGCTTCTCCAATTACTGTACTCCCCAGTGAAACAATGCACACCGTCTCGAAAAGCTTGAGCTAGACACCGCGAATAAAAATTGTATTATTTATCCCTCCATTGCAACACCCACGAGTAAGAAACAGAATTTTCTTCTTCTTCTTCTTGTCCTGTTGCGAGTTTCAAAAACAAGGTGGTGGATTGTCCTCTTGACGGTGGTCATGCTGGCGTATCGTCGCCACTGTAGAATACAGCCAGGCGTTCGACACTCGGATGTTCACCCCCTGGCCAAATCAGAGGGGATGGAAGCGTTGGAGTTGGCGGGTAACAGGGGGTGGTTTCCCTCCAGGCGCCTGCGTCGAGTCCTCGATGACGACTCGACGAGGTAGGTGCTCGACCCGGACGCAGTACGGAAGAAACGTCGAGCACGCAGAGTGCCGTCCTCGTGACACATCTCACCCTTTCTTTTTCTTTTGATCCATGGCAACAAGGAAACGTGGCGTAGCTCGTCCGGTGCAATCAGCCAGTGCAACACATCGATCACAGTGATTTCACAGTTCGACCAGATCATCCAGTCGCATCTTGAACTGTACTGTCGTTGAGTGGTGGCTCTTCGTAAACGAAGACAGGAGACGTTGATCGGGTCCGGGGCAAGGGTTATCAATGACTCGATACCGCGGTCAGATAAGAGATACCTGCGATTTCTGAATGGTTCTGAACGACTCGAGTGACAGCTCGTACGTGGCGTACTCGGCGGAACGATTCTTGTCAACGTTTTGCAACACATTTGCAAGCGATCGTACGGTCAATATGTCGCGGTGAGGCAGCAGTTTCAAGATGAACCTAGCTCTTGTCCGCGGTGTGTCCTGTGTAAACTTGAATACACCGTATACGGTTGACTCCCGTCTTGCTCTTGGTTCTGTTCCCACTAACTGCTTGGGAACAACAGGTTGAAAGTGGAGTTTTGTGATATAATTCGACGGGCTCGCCGGAGAAACCAACGAACGCCGAGATTTGATCGTTGCCTCTGGGCCACGTCATCCGACAGATTCGAAGATCTGGCAAACTGGACGATGCGTTTCCGGCGGATCAAAGGTTAATCGCCCGAAGAGCATCCCGAGCGATGTTCTCACCACCGTCGAGGAAGGCTTAGTCGTATTTAATCGTCGCTTGCATGTGGGTCACAAGTTGCATTCGCCAAAGCTAACGGGATAGAGGGTTTACCGAGTAGAGAGGTAAGCTTGTTAAATTGCGTTACCCCTCAGGGCATCCAGGCGTTACCGCTACCCTTATAATTAATTCGTACCTCTTCGCCGAACTTTTCCCCTTTTTTCAAAACGTTTTTCGGTCCTTCGAGATTTATCGTGGGTCGAAGCAGCCGAAAACTTTCCGATCGTCTTGCAATACACATTTGGATACTTCTTCTTTTTTCACGTAGAGGAGTAGATCGTGTCTGAAAGACAGTTTAGCTTGATCGTGTAGGTAGAATGGGATATGAGAATGATATTTAGAAATCATTGGTCAAGTTGAAGTCACGTGGTGGAGATGCAGTTTACGGTGTCCTTAACCTCACGGAAAATCAATGTTCCTCACCTAATGATAACCAGGTGTATGCCACTCTATCTTCTTTATAAACCAAGAAACCATATCGAGCCGAGATTTCAGTCTTTTGATGTTGCATCCAAATTTTTGATCAAACAAATTGCAAATTTAATTGAAATCGCCAATTTCATTTTCTCAGAGATATCCTCGTTATTCGTGAATGTTTTCCATTATTTAATTGATTCCAATTAAAAACTTTTTGCCAGGGGTAGCATCATTTGCTTAACAGGAATTTTACATTTGCAGTTATTTTATTTGCTTGTACTGGAAAAATTAAACGCACTTTATGCAACAAAGAATCTGTAAAGTATTAATACATTAAAGTATTAATAACTATATTTTTAAACGTGCAATTTATTCAAATAGCGAATATTAAAAATGAAAAAGTGTTTCAAGACTTTTGAGCGAGAATATAACTTCGGAATTTTGTTGTTTACGATAAATACTGAATATTGAAAGTGAGAAGTGTTTTAAGGCTCTTGAGGAAGAATTAAAAAACTTAAATTAAAAATCTTTCGAATATTAAAAACAAAAAAAGTGCCCTAAGAACTTAGACTTTAGACGAGTAGAATGTGAACTTATTTATTCTTCCGAGAAAATGCATTTAGGTATGAAAACAGTTACTCTGATTTGATCGAGGTTATTCACCGAATGACAACGAATATTAGATACTGCTTGAAATAAATAATTCATACTCGACAGAATTGC